GGCAAGTGAGTTTGTCAGCAAGTGAGTCTGTGCATGGGCCCTTTAAGGAGAACACTTGGGATTCCAGCAATCCTCCTCACTCAACTGCAATCTACTCTGGTTTTTACCCACCAGACGTTATGGGGACCTCTCTTCCTGGCACTGGAACCCCGGGTTGGGAGTCTCAGGTGGGGCTGGGACCCCTCACTCAGGGACGACCACCACAGCTGAGTGGAACCTGCTCATTCCACATCTCAGCCCCTCCTACCAGTGTCAATGTGACTTCTGCATATCCTTACTTACAGAACTTCTGTGCAGCTAGGCTTCAGGTGGTTCTCAACGGCGGTGATTCTGCAGTTTAGTTGTAATTCTGAAGTTGTCATGTGAGGATGCAAGGACAACATTTACCTTCTCCACCATCTTGACCAAAAGCTGCCAAAAAATTATAGAGGATTTTCCACTGCATCGAGGTCTGCACCCCTAATCCCTGTGTTGTTCAACAGTCAACTCTACTGACAAATACCATCTCAGATTTCATCTTTTCTAGAGAAAAATCAAATCATTAACTTAAGCCCATTAAATTGGATGGCAACTCTTCATTACTCACCCTGGAACCAGGTTTTTAAGGGCAACTTCAATATCAAGTGCTGGGGGCAATTCCAAATACAATCACACTGCAAGGCAACTTGAGGAGGAAAAAAAAGAAAAAAAACTTTGAAAAATTGAGTGGGCAATCATACAATATGCCAGGACGCAAGTCGCTCAAACAAAGCTGCAGGGAGAATGACCAGAGCAGCCCTGCATGTAAGGAGCGCTTTGGCCTTGCTGGGAATATTCAAGGTGGTGGGATGGTAACTTAAGTGGCATGCAGGTAAATGTTTCCCAATCAGCTTTTAGGGAGAAAAAGCCATTATTTTGTTGTATTTGCAAGTTCCTTAGTGGAAATGCACCCACGAAGGCTAATTTCAAGTTCCCCAAGCACATCGCTGAATGGAAACTTAAGAAGAGATTTACAATAGCAAACCATTGCACAGTATTTCAGATACAATAGATGTGAATAACCTCAAGCATAAATTATAGTAAAGGTAATGAAGTAACTAGACCATGGTGATTTTTGAGTATTACTTTTGTTTCCATAATTTTATTATGCGTATATAATTTAATCTTAATAATGTTTGCTTTAACAACTGGCCCCCAAATGTAGGGAAGATTTAACAGTGGGCTCTAATAAGTGGGTACCTTTCGCTCCAGCACAACTGCTGCAAGTTGCTCTTCGGGGTCATTCAAGTTATTTTCAACAAACAACAAACCAAATAAATGAAGCCACTAAATCATCTGGATCAAATTATCTCGTCTCCAAGGGTGCCGATCTCTTTGCTACCCCCACTTTAGAAATATTTCAAGTTCAGGTTACGTTTGGGGAGTATTTGTAGGAATACCATTAAGTGACAATACCTTACATTTGTTATCACCCATTACTCTTTTCAAAGTAGTGCTTTCATGGGACGGTGGGACATAACGAATTTAGATCGGTGGGGAAATAGCATTTTAATGCCCTAGTCACCTAGTGGTGACTGTTGGGAGCTGTTTGTTGAAGAGCGAGGCTGGGGAATGAAGCTGGGAGCAAGGCCAGGAAGCCCAAAGGCTGGTCGGCCGCCCCAGCGTTCGGGTTCCCTCCTGGACATGGCTCCACCGCCGTGCAAGCGGGTGTACAGTAGCGTTGGGATCGCCTCCCGCTCCCCTGTTGTCTAACTTTACAGATTGACTAGAACTCAGTTTTTCTGATGGAGGGGATATGCTCTAAGAGTCCTTTCAAAACGCTAAAACGATCAGAGCCAGACCATTCAAATACTCTCTTACAATGTTTTTTTCCTCGATCCCAATGTTACTGTAGCGGACACGTGCATAGGCTCCATATAGATTTCACTGCTAAAGTTAGCAGAGGTAGTCGTGGCCGAGTGGTTAAGGCGATGGACTAGAAATCCATTGGGGTCTCCCCGCGCAGGTTCGAATCCTGCCGACTACGGGAACCAAACTTTTGCCACCAATACTTGTTTGTTTTCCTTTCTGAGTTTCCCATTTTCCCCGCAGATAATTTAAGGCCTGTAAGAATGGCCGAAGTACAACAGGGACCCCTCGGTAAGCCCGGAAGAGGGGCGGACGAAGGAGCCCGGGAGTCGTGTGAGTGTAGTGACCATCTGGACCCAGGAGGGGGAGATGGGACCGAAACGCGCCCGACAACCTGGAACGAGTGAAGGCAAAGCAGCGTCGCGAGGTCGCGCAGGAAGGGAGAGC